GGCGTTTCTAGCTCTTCCTTAGTCTCAATTTCCGTCGTGTCGATTACGGCGCGTCGCTTCAGTGAAGTACACGGTTGGCGGACGGAGCGAAGAGTGTCGACGAAGAGGACGGAAGATTTGGAGAAGATATTGTTCGCAATGGGAGCTTGTGGGATGATGGAGGCGATAGAAGGAGCTTAGCTGCTCGGTCAAGACCGTCAGCTTTTTTGCTTTTGCTTTCGTCTACATCCCACCGCTTTTATCAAAATCCTCCGTCGAGGTCCTCCGTCGAGGTTACAAATCCTCCGTCGAGGTCCGCATCGAGCCACTCTCAGTGTGCAACACGTCGTACGTTTACCCCCGTCGAGGAAAAACATCAAATCCTCCGTCGAGGTCCTCCGTCGAGGTTAACAAAATCCTCCGTCGAGGTCCTCCGTCGAGGTTAACAAAAATCCTCCGTCGAGGTCCTCCGTCGAGGTTACAAATCCTCCGTCGAGGTCCTCCGTCGAGGTTACAAAATCCTCCGTCGAGGTCCTCCGTCAAGGTTAACATCAAATCCTCCGTTGAGGTCCTCCGTCAAGGTTACAAATCCTCCGTCGAGGTCCTCCATCGAGGTTACAAAATCCTCCGTCGAGGTCCTCCGTCGACGTTAACATCTAATCCTCCGTCGAAGTCTTCCGTCGAGGTTCCCAAATCCTCCGTCGAGGTCCTCCGCTGCGGTTAACATCAAATTCCTCTGTCGAGGTCCTCTGTCGAGGTTATCTGACAATCCTCCGTTGAGGTCTACATATTGCCCCTCTAGCCGCAATATATTTCTATAAACAACTGTTTTCGCTCTCCGTGCTTAAGCCGTCTGTTTTACTAACTATTTTAAAGCCGAACTCGGATCCGAGCCTTTCTTGTCTTCTTCGTTCTCGGCCTCCCTTTTCCCTTTGCGACTCTCATCCTTTCCCTCCCCAAGCTGGATATCCCTTGCCTGAATATGTTTTTTACATCTTCTAGTGTTTATATATTACAGTTCTATCATTACCCACTACCCCCCAAGAGCCTTTCGAGGGGCATTTCCTATCCAAAACAAAAACTTTTCCTTCCCAAATCGAAAACTTTTCTTCCTTTTATTCCCATTCACACTTCCCTCTCCGACTTGCTGACACGCCACGTCGATGGAATTCCCTACACTGTAGTACAATCCATACCAACTTTCACACACTCGCAACAACATTTTCCTATTGTGTCCCTCCTCATAATTTCTGTTTTCAGAATTTTTACATCCAAATCGATTGACACCATCCGCAATGCGATTCCCTTCATTCTCTGCTATCAAGTCCCTCCCCACCGATGCGGACTCCGATGCCCTCTTGAAGAACGTTTTCCATGGCTCGTCCAGCATGCATGATCGTGCCACTGCCGTCACCTCGGCACTTGGTCTGATGTTCTTCGACCCTCAAGGAAAGCTCACGGTCGTTACCATCCCAAAAAAGGTTATCCTTGACAATGGAATGTCGGCCGGTATCTTCGCCTCCCTCCGAGACGACCTTACCCAAGCGATCCCCGTGACCATTGACCCCGACGAACTCTCCAAACGGGTGATCGGGGTGGGCAACAATGGCCGCGCCGTCTCGTGCTGCGTCCCTCTGCTGAAGGACACCCAGTACCACCCGAGCAACGCCAAGAACGCCAACGACGCAGACTTACCTGAAGACATCGACTTCACAGTCGAATCACCAACCTTCTGTGCAGTCTCAGTTTTCTGCCCACTTGTTCCAGGTAGCAAGATGCCACCGGATCTGGACCTTACCCAAGACGTCCCTGAAGAAGTTCTTCTTGTCCTTTCGCCTCACGAACGTCTATGGGTCGAAGTTCATGCCTTTCTCTTCAAGAATACGATGGGAAGAAGCCTTTTTGTCGACGAGACACTCGTCGGCAAGACTTCTATCCCACTGGACCAGTTTATTGTCAACGAGCAGCTAGCTGCAATCTCCGAGAATACTCTCTCCACAGCATCTGGGTACGAGTTTCGCGACGCCCGGACCGGCTCTGAATCCTTTTACAAGTACATTACGAGCTTCAACAGTAAGGTCGATACGCTCTCCCGTGCCCACACCGATGTCTCTGCCGAACCAAGTATTCCTACCGGGGCTGCCCAACCAATCGACCACGCCAGTATCATCAAGGAGGCAATTTTGGCATCAAAGACCACGGCCACCAATGACGCGGCCACCGAAGCTCAAGAGCGAGTCCTCCTGTCATGGCGAATACTCTTTGGCCATTTTATCACCCACCCGGATGGGAGTGTTGAATACGTACTGGCTGATTGTTCGCCCGCTTGGAAGACCATTTTGAAGGCAAAACCCCAACTTGCCCTTCGTTTCTTCCACGAAGCCTTCGAGCAGTCCATTAAAGGGCTCCAACCTACCCGCAATGCTTACCACGCTCTCTTCGACTGGGATGTCCATCGCATCCAGGCAGCTGGGATGGCGGCGATCCAAGGAGCCAGCTTTACCACCAGACCTCTGGTAATGAACCCATCCGATGCACTGTCCTGCTTCAGTCTCCTTCAGTTCCTCCCTTCCGACAGGACCGACAAGGACTTGGCCTCGCATATTAACGAAGATGAAGAAGCCTGTATGCAAGAAGACATGGGTGAGCATGTCACCAAAAGGGCCTCCAAGAAGACAAAATTGTACTCCAAGGGTCGCTGCGCCTCCATTGCCGACATCAAGAGCACCATCTCCAACGTCGCACAACTTGCTGACTTCGCAACCGAAAACTTCTCCATGTCCAACAACACACCCTTCTTGGTGGAACAGTTTGACACGGTTATGGTTGCTTTGTCCCGACCTGACGCCGTCCAGTGGCAGCATGTGATCGACCTCACGGGTGTCGCTGTCCACATCCTCCATGACCTCCAAACCGTTTTCCAGGTCATTGCCTCTGAGGCCAAGGACTTCACTCTCCACGCCGAAGCACGACCACTGGGCACCATTCAACGTGCTGAACTCTTCTCTGGCGCAAGAGCCCAGACACAGCTCCTGCTGGACAAGATTGACGAAGGACTACGAAATTGTCGCCGCCCCAACTATCCCAGGACATCCGCCCTGAGTGCCCTGATTTCTTCCACCGAGGCCCCCGACGCTTCGTCTTCTGGCAAACGGTCCTCCGAGTCACCATCCTCCAAGCAAGATACAGTCGCTTCACCTGCAAAGAAGCCAAAGCCTAGCAACGAGGAAAGCAACACCAGGGGCATGCTAATCTGCACTTCCACCGGACGGCGACTGATGCCAGACCAAAAGTGGAAAGTCAACGGTGTAGAGAAGACCGCCTGCGTCAACTTCCTCTTCCGGAACTTCCAGTGCACGAATACTCGTTGCCCTTTGCTCCATATCCATAAGCGAGTGTACCAATCTCGCCCTGCTAGCGAACAGGAGTCCTTCAAGACTTGGGTCCAATCGACTCCAAACGTCAAATGGGCTCCTGGGCAGGAACCACGTACCGGTTAGTTTTCTTTTTACTTAAGTACCTCTCTTTCTTATCACAACTTTGCTTTCCACTTACGTCCTAGTTCCTTTCCTTCTCTCTCATGGTTGATTGTTGTTGCTCCACCAAGTGGCGGCCGCATCAGTAAGCACTCTTACCCAACAGGTCCACTACTACGCGTCTTGGTCGGCACCAATGTCACATTGCATTGATCCACAGGACGAGTGTTCTCTCCAGGACTATCCCCCAACTCGGACAATTTTCGACGAGCTTGACCCTGCGGACATGCTTGTTGCGGAACGATTCCGCCATATTCTGGAACAGGGCGCAAGGGTAACACCTACTTTTACTCGGTCGGAACAATCCCAATTTCTTCGGGATCTCCCGAGTAGAACTGCCCTCGCTGTGGAGTCACCATACGGTAAGGACAGTAATGACCAATGCTTCAAGACGGAAAGTACATTTCGCCATACCTTTGTTTTTCTCTACAAGAGCGGCTACTTGGACAAAACGACCAGCGATCGCTTGGGCAAGGCTTTCTCCGGAGCCTTACTTCTTCGTCTGCTACTCAAGGGCCACGAGTTTGTTGACTTTCGGCCACTTCGCCCCGTCCTTCCTTCGGATACACCAATGGGCCAAGTCATGCACAGTTGGAGCCGGATGTTCACCGCCTGTTTGTTACATTACAACTTGGATGTAGCTACTGCCGTTCGCTACGTTGGGAACATACATACAGGGGCCCATCGTGATTGGAACACTTTAGAACCAGAGCTACGTGCGG